GAGTGACAGTCAAATAGATCAAACTTCAATTGAGCTAACGATATAATGTTGGATCTTCAAGAAGAGAACCATCAAGTGGAGTAAGGCAAACATCATAATCAAGAGATGTGGAAGTTGTCTGACAATCAGTGATGCCGACCCGAGCAAAAAGATCATAGGCATACTTGGCTTGAGACAAATAGAAGCCATCAGAGGAATCAGATATCTCAAGACCTAAAAAATTGCAAAGTTGGCCCAAACTCTTTATCTCAAAATGCTTACGAAGATAAACCTGTAAATCAGAAATACCAGAAACATTTCCGTGATGATCATATTGTAAAGCAAAAAATTTCGTATTATTGAATTAATAAACACGAGAACTTCGTACAAATTGATTTCAACGGATCAATTGAAATATAGTGGATTACAAATTTCTATTATTCCTCTGATTAATTTCTTCAAGAATAATCTTCAAATGGATTTGAGACTTTTGGAGACGAATCTTCAGTTTGATTTCTGCCAGTCTTGAATATGGATTTAAATAACATTTCTTAGAGGGCTTGACAGCTTAATCTCGAATCGAATGTCATGATTTTCCAAGAACGTGAAGAACACGAGTCCTTGGTCTTCGCCGAAAAGTTGATTTTGATCTTCTCTACACCGGTCTTGACTTTAATAACGTAATTCGGAGGCTTGGCAGCTTGTTTCCGGGTTGAACGTCAGTTTTGGGCTTGAACGCGCTTGAATCTTCCTTCGGATCTTTAAGAACGTCTTTGAATCTTCAAGAACACTTTGACTTTAATAACGCAATTCGGAGGCTTGACAGCTTGTTTCCTGATTGAACGTCGGCTTTGGGATTGAACGCGCTTGAATCTTCCTTCGGACCTTCAAGAATGCCTTTGAATCTTCAAAACACTTTGACTTTAATAACGCAATTCGAGGCTTGGCAGCTTGATTCCGGATTGAACGTCAGTTTTGGGCTTGAACACGCTTGAATCTTCCTTCGGATCTTCAAGAACGCCTTTGGATCTTCAAGAACACTTGAATCTCGTTGAGAGAATTCTCTAGAGCTCTTGAACTTGGAACTTGAATTATGAATATAAATTGTGTTTTTCCACATTAGGGTGGGTCCCTATTTATAGGTGTTGGGAGAGAGAGTCTTGGAAAAGAAGACTTCAATTTGATTGGTCCATAATTTTCAATATTTATCTCTTAACAATTATTTAAAGAGATAATTAGGAGAGAGAGTCTTGGAAAAGAAGACTTCATTTTGATTGGTCTATGAATTTCCAATATTTATTTCTTTAATAATTTATTTAAAAGAAATAAATATTTATTTTACTCTCTACGAAAATGACATGTGGCATTCTATTGACCTTCAAAATATACACATGACATTCTTTAATTGGCCAACAATATATATTAAATAATCAATTAATTAACTATTTAATTTAGGAATTAAAATTTGATTACTTTCCCAAATAAAATAGAAAATTACTAATTTGATTTTGACTTGGAATTTGACACTTGTCGCCATTTTATTGGCTCAAAATTTATTTGTCTACACATATCATCAACATAGAGTAATAGAATAATAATCCCAGCTAATAAGCACTAAAAAAAAAAAAAGTAGAATCGTGATCATTCATACTGGAACTAAACTGAAACAATGCAGAACTGAACTTTGCATACTAGGCATGAGGCGCTTGTTTCAAACCATACAAATCTCGACGTAGATGACAAGGACCCCAGAGGAGGAGTCATGTAAACCTCCTCAGATAAGGCACCGTATAAGAAGGCATTCTCGACATCTAGAAGAGACCATCGACGAACAACATCAACTGCAAGTAAATACGAACAGTAATAACACGGGCGACCGGTGCAAAGGTCTATTTATAGTTTATATGCCATAGTTTGTGAGTAAGCCTTAGCACCTAGACAAGCTTTGTAGAGTTCAGTAGATCCATCTGATTTGTCTTGATTTTAGAAACATATTTGCAACCGATGGGTGTCTTGCCAACAGGTAGATCTACCAAATCCGAAGCATGAGTCTTTCTCAATGCCTGCAATTCCTCAGCCATAGCTTATTACGACAATGGACCAGCACTCGCCTTACGAGAAGATCTAGGCTAGTGATGAGATAGTAAGACTGGATAATAATTATAGCCAAGTAGGTGAGCAGGGGGACAACTTACACGTGTTGACCATCGGTGGTCAATGGTAGGTGAAGGGACACGATCAAGAGTGGACTCAATAGGAAGCTTCGTTCAGGATGAACAAGTGGATCCCCTTCAAGAGACGGCGGTGGGACGAGAAGGTCAATGAGCTCTAAGCCAGTATGAGTGACTGAAAAGAGACTCGAAGTAATGAACATAAGAAATGGGACGATGCGTCAAACAAAGTTTTAAATTTAGATAAAGAAGAAAATGTAGAATGTTCCCAAAAAGGTAACGTGACGTGAAATATGCAAACGATGAGAAATAGGATACCAACACCTAAATCCTTTGTGTTCTACCCCATAACCCAAATAAACAACACCGACAAGCTCAGGGTTCTAATTTGTTTTGCTCACGGGATGGTAAAAGAACAAATCAAGCACAACCAAAAGGGTGTAGTTGTGTATAATCAGGTGACTGATTGTACATCCTTTCAAAAGGACTGCTATCTCGAAGAATTGTTGAGGGTAATCGATTAATAGCATAAACAACAATCAAAGCTGCTTCACCCATAAAATGATCAGGACAGATAGCGAAAAGGAAATGAGAACAAACAATATTAAGAATGTGATGGCACTTACGTTCAACTCGTCCATTTTGTTGGGAAATATAAGGACATGAACACTGAACAATTGTACTCTAATCAGAAAGAAATTTTAAAAAGGTAGAATTATTGTACCCAGGGGCATCGTCAGTACGCAAGACCTTGATAGAACAAGAAAATTGCGTGTGGATCATTCTATTATATTGAGTTATATATGGTGATACTCAGAACGATTTTCAAGAAAATAGATCCATGTAAAACAAGAAAAATCATCAACAAAATTAGCAAAGTACCGAAAACCATTCATAGAGGCAACATGGAAAGGACCCCAAATATCAGAATGTACCAAAACAAAAGGTAGCACTTGGCTAATTTTCAGAAAAAGAAAATGTCGATTATTTCTCAAGTTTACAATAGGACAACTGAAAGACTTAAAATGACCTGAACCTAAAAGTCCTTTATTATATAAAATATATATGACGACGCATGTCAAACAAGAAGATGCCACTGGAAGGTGGACTTAATATTGATGAAAACAACAACAAAGGAATAAGAGTGAGGAACATGAAGAGACTCAAGCTCAAATAGTCGGCTAGTCTTAAGACCCGCCTTGAAAAGTTGTCTCGTTTGTTAATCTTGAACCTAAACACCAAAAGATTAATATGTAATATTAAGACCTCGTTCGACCAATTGACCAACAGAAATAAGATTCAATGCCAAGTTAAAAATGCAGTATGTGTCGGGTAGGTTCAAGAAAAAAGAACAAACAAGACAAGAGCGAGTAATTTTCATGTGAGTATCATTGTAGTATGTATAGGAGCTAAAGAGGTTAGAGAAGATGAAGAAGACAAAATGTAGATTAGAGGTCATGTAATTGCAGCATCCAGAATCAAAGTAATGAGATTTAACTGCGATAACGAACATAAAAAAATGGAATGGATAATCTATTTGATGATAACTTCTATGTCTTGAAGGGTGTAAGAAAAGTTCTGAAGCTCATTAATGATAGTCGTTGTAACAGAGGAAGCAGCAGTTGAAGAATACTCGCGAGACCCTCCATACAGAGAAGACCTCCTGAACGTTGTGATATGGCTAGATAATTTGGAGCAATATGATCCCGAATATGGCATATGTGGCACTCCACTTTAGGACAAGTGGAATAAGTGTGCTTAGAGTTCTTAAAATGTGTGTGTGTGTGTGTGTATGTGTGTTTTAAATAAAAATAAAATTTTATTAAAAAAACCGTATTTCAAACACGTGTGTGGAGGTTTTTAAATAGTCATAAAAATGACCCTTGAATTTTGAAAAATAAAATAAAATAAAAATA